GTTTTATGACATTGATTACAACTCCCTCTCTATGGTTCTTATTTCCACTCATCTTCCATCCTTACTCTTCCTACTCTGAACTTTAGCATTAGGCAAATGCTTCTATTGTGAAGTATTGTGATCTCGTGTGGATGATGATTCACTTCCATTGTATTATTTTTTATCTTATTAAAATACACACACACACACACACATATACACCACCCCCAAACTCATGGCCAACTAGTCAGAACTGACTCATAGTTGACCCTCCACTGAGTTTTCAGAGAGTTTTAATTACATGGGAAGAGATTGTCCATCTTTCTCCCCATGAGCAACTGGCAGATTTAAATCACCTGTATTTGAGTTAACAGTGTAACCTTTTATCCACTAGGCCATCAGAGCTCCCTTATACTTACTTTTTTAAAAAAATATTATTTTTTTTGTGTGTGTGTGTGTGTGTACCATCAAATTGGATCTGACTGGTACAAGAGGAGACTGTTCCTCCTTCTTCAGCAGAGCATCTGGTGGATTCAAAGCATGCATCTCTGGGATTGCAGTATAGCTTCTTACCATTAGGCCACCAGAGCTTGCTGCATAATTTTAACTTATAGATCTGTCTATTATTTGGATGAAAGTTGTACCACAGAAGTGAGTTCACTTCTAAGCCCAAAGGGCAGCTAAAGATCATAGTCTAGGGAATCTTCTCTGTCAATCTCCATTAGATTAATGTCTTTTTAAATTTTCTGAGAGGATTAATATTTTACCTTTCTTAAGTGACAACTAATATAAAAGGCCTTTAAGTAATTTTTATTCAGTTATTCCTAGGATAGAATCATTCTTATTGGTTTGGGCCATATTTTGATGTCATTTATTGATTACTCACTTTAACAAGCAAAATGAATTGATGTTGGTTTTACAGCTGAAATATTGTTTAATCTGAAAACAGAATACTTGAGTGTAAATCTTCTTATACCCATTTATCAAAAAGGAATGACAGAACTCTATGATTGTACCATAATTTACAATTGGCATGGTCCTTTAGCACACATTATTTTCTGATTTAATCCTTATAGAAACTCTAGAAAGTAGGTGCTGTGTTAGTGCTTTACAGGAAAAAAAATCTCAGCTAGTAAATTACAAAGCCAGAAGTAGATCTCTGCTGGACTGGGACCCAGGGCTTATTTTATCGCCCCATGCTGACTCATGGAACGCGAGATGGAAAGGCTTTGTGTCTTCCCTTTGCAGTGCTACTGCATAGGCCACTACCAGCAGATTACTGTCCTGGGAATAACTTCTCTGGCAGTTAACCTTGTAAATGAACTTTCAGAACATTCATAGGGGCACAAACCAGAAAACTTTCTGAGGAGTTCTATTTGGAGGTTTTATTGAAGAGTAAGAAAATAGATTTATTAGTAAAGAATATCTGCCTTGATATCTGCAAGAGGTCCTCTTAAGCTCTCTGTATATGGGATACAATTGACAACAGCAACTTAAAGGATCCAATCAGACATTTAGTGGAAAGTGAATTTACATTAATGGGAGGGAGCAACTCAGAAATGGATGCTGAGAATGCTGTAAAACCCGAAGAGTGTAATTAATATCACTGAAATGGTTGAATTGGTGTATGTTATGCTGCATATAGTCTCATCCACAGAAAAATAAAATTAATTGATTATGTGAATGTTGTTTAGTGTCATCAAGTTGAGTACGATTCATAGCAACCCTATGAACCCTGTTCTATAACTATCATCATTTCTCTGTGCTTTTAGAGTTTCCAGAGGCATGCGGTTTAGGAAGCGATGTGACTCCTGCTTCCAAAATTGAATCGATCTGGAGCTCCACCAAACACTGTCCATGATAGGTAACTATTATGGCATTTGGCACACCAATGGCACAGTGTTCAGTATCACAATAACCCCTAGTTACTTCAATACAGCCAATAGAAAGACCACTATTGTACCACTTAGAAGAATGTTCATCCCAAAATCAATTAACACTACTACCATTTAAATACAAGGCACACCCACCAGGAGCTGGTTTCCTAAACCAAGAGATTTCTAGCTCACAGTTTATTCTTAGCTAAATGCAGCACATCCAATCAGCTGACAACCTATTGTGGATAGAGGCGGTGGGAAACCCAATAAAAAAACCCAAATGTTCCATACCCAACCCTCACCAAGATGTGAGAAACCTTTCCCCAGAATCCAACCACTTCACACATGAGCCTCCAAGATGTCATAAATCATAAAAAGAAAAAAATCTTGCCCTTACCAGTAAGATTTTCTTTTTAAAAATGTCATTTTCCCCAAAGTAGAGAAAATTACCTTAAATTACACTTTGTTAAATAAAAGTACAGTGCTTGTCTGTCAGTTGGCTGTACTGGGGTAACTTGTGAATTGCTGTGATCTTGGAAGCTATGCCACCAGTGTTTCAAATGCCATAAGAGTCAAACATGATAGACAGATTTCAGCAAAATTTCCATATTAAAATAAACTGACTAGGAAGCAAGTTTGGACATCTACTTCTGAAATAACAGACTTCTGAAAACCCTATGAACAATAGAGAAATATAAGGAGCTCTGGTAGCTTAGTAGTAAGGACAAAGCAAGGTATTATATAACACAATATATAAAGAGTTAGATTTGGAGAATAAAAAGAACTTGCTCTGCATTTCTCAAACTGAAAGAACTAAAAAGGAAATTCAAGTTTTAAGTTACAATACTGAGAAATGTTATCGGCAAAATCTTGAATGATCCAGGAAGCATCAAAAGAAGATGGAGGAAATATACAGAATCATTGTACAAAAAAAATAATTAATTGGCACTATAATATTTAGGAAGCATCACATGAACAACAGCCAAGATCAATGAAAGAAGAAGTTCAAGCTGCACTGAATGCATTGGCAAAAAAAAAGTCACCATGAATCGATGGACATAACAACATGTTTCAACTAACGGATACAGCCTTGGATCACCAGTGTATGACAGGAAACTTGGAGAACATTATATTGGCCAATTGACTTGAAGAGATCTATATTTCTTCCCTTTCCATGAAACGTGGTCCAACAGAATGTGGAAATTATCAAACAATATCATTAGTATCATATGTAAGAAAAATGTTCTTGAAGATCATCCAAAACATTTAAATACAATCTCACTCAGCATGGTTTAACAGGGTAACTAACAACCAATGTTGGTGAGAATGCATATATTGGAAATCTCATGTACTGCTGTGTAAAATGGTACAATTACTACAGAAGGCAGTTTGGCATTTCCTCAAAGAGGCAAAAATAGGAATCTCATTCAACCCAGCTATTCGACTTCTAGAGAGCTCTGGTAGTGTGGTGGTAAGGAATTGCTGTGCATATGGTTTCAGTCCACAAACTGCTCTGTGGAACACAAATATACAGTCTTCTCCCATGTGATTTACATCCTCTTAAAACTTGCTGGAGGGTCAACTATAAAACTCTTCTGACTCCATGGCACATAATAATGGCATCAGCAACAAACTTCACTAGTGAGAATATACACTAGGAAAATTACAGCAGAGACATGGACAGATGTATGTACATGAGGAGCTCTGGTGGCCTAGTTGTAAAAAGCTACACTGTAATCCCAAAAGCACATGGTTCCAATCCACCAGTTGCTCCATGGAAGAAGGATGGGCAGTCTCTTCTCTTGCAACCCACTGGAGGGGTCAGCTATCAGTTGGTTCCAACTCAACAAAACACAACAGCAACAACAAACATCCTTATTACAATGTTATTCAGAATAGTGAGGAGACTGAAGCAGCCCAAGTGCCCAACAACAAATGATACAGAGTGCCCAACAGAATGGATACAGAGATTTTGGTATATTTCCACAATGGTACACTATGTAGCATTTTTTAAAAAATGACGAATTTGTGAAACACTGCCCAATATGGATAAGTCTAGAGGACATTATGTTGAATGAAATAACTCAGTCACAAAAGGACAAATACTAAAAAGATTGCTCTGTGAGAATAAGAGGAGGATTTAGGGATGGGACTGGATAGACAGGGCACAAATCGAAAGGACTGGCAATGTCTACTGAAAGGGATTAGAAGGGAAGATCAAGCAGGAATGAATGTATGAATGGACATTATGTGAACTGCATTTCACAAATTGGACTAAGGCATGTATAACTGTTAAAAAGGTGAGGGGGAAGAGGAGATTGAGAGAGGGAGAGGGGAGAGGAAGACAGAAAAAACATGCTAGGACAGCAGAGATTAGTGGATGGAAGGGATTAGTGGAGTGAAGGGATAGGAGAAGATTTGATGAGGCCTTGTGTTAAAGGGCAAAGATTAATTGTAATTAACATTTTAAAACAAAATGTATAATGATGGTTGAGTTAAAACCAATAAAAAAAGGAGTAGAAGTTTAGAAAAGTTAAAAGAACATGCCAGAGTGTCACAGCTAAGAAAGAGCACGGATAGTGTTAGAATTCAAGTTGGTCTGAGACCTGAGCCCTTTATGCCATAATTCCTTGAAGTGATTTGATTTCTGATTTCTTTCTTCAAACTGGAGTATAAGTGTATTTCTTATAGATGGAGGGAGAGGTGTAGGGAAAAGACAAGTTTAGAGTAGAATATATATATATATTTTTTTATATTTCGGAAACTACAAAAGCAGGAATGAGTCTACTTTTTAAGTCTTTATATTCTGTATGTCAGCCAAATTTTGGTATGGCTTGTCCTGCCCAAAGCATTTCCCATGGTGAGCCTTTGAAGGTATTTCTGACATTCTATGTTTAATCCCATAAATACCAAATATGGCTGAGACTTCAATTGCAATGGTTGATAGCATTTTGACATTCCCTAGTTTAACGGAATGCACCTTTTTCCCGTGTGACTACAGTCTCAGTACAGGAAGTCTAATCTCCCCAGGCTTCAAGAAGAATGTCTTCCTCTTTAATATGATTTTAACCCTCCCCATGATACCCTGGTCTGTGTTGCAAATCAGCTTCTGCTTGAAACTCACACATTTTCTCTTCTTCATAGATTATTACCATGAGAGATTACATTCCCAAAATTCTGGGCCCAGAGGCCTTCCAGCAATATGTGGGTCTCTACGAAGGCTACGATTCCACAGTGAACCCCACAGTATCCAATGTATTTGCCACAGCTGCGTTCCGCTTTGGGCATGCCACAATTCACCCATTTGTAAGGCGTCTTGACGACCACTTTCAGGAGCACCCTGACCTCCCCAGGTTACACCTGCATGATGCCTTCTTCAGTCCATGGAGACTTGTCAGGGAAGGTGAGTTTCTTTCAATTTAGCCTTCAATGAGAAGAATGGGATTCCCAGGGCACTTGATTGTGCTCATGCAGAACCTATACAGGGACCAGAAGCTATTGTGCAAGCAGAGCAAGGGAAAACTACAAGGTTTTTAAGTTGAGAAGGGATTGGGGAAAAAACAATTGCTGTTGAGGTAATTCGGTCTCCTGGTAACCCAAGTGTGTAGGAGCAAAGATGCCTTGGGTCTTTCATGGTTATTCTAACCTTCATGGTTTTGGTTAATAGTCAAGCTGGTTAACAGTTTGCAATAGGTGATTACTCCTCATATATCTTTAGAATGTTAATAATTGTATTAACCTTATAACTCAATGATTTACATATAAAATATCCTTTGAATCCCTGGGTAGGTTTGAGAGAGTCATTTTAATTTTCAACTCTTTCTTTCATACACGTTTTCTCTTATTTTATATCTTGCCCCATGTTCTTTATCCTTATCTGGAAGTTTCTGACTTGTGATAAGGGTTGATTAATTCTAAGAAGGGATAGTTGGTAAAATGGAAAGTGGAGATTAAAAAGTTACTGTCCCTTAAAGCAAGCAAATTTTATGCAAAGTTTGATGGAAAGTGAGACCATGGAATTTTACCAAAATCACTCTACACTAGACAAAGTGAATTATGATTTCTGAGTAAATTGTATTTTGAGGGCATCATGAAGTCTAAGCTTTGGCGGCCTAGTGGGTAAAGAGTTGCACTGCTAACCCAAAGGTATGTAGTTTGAATCTCCCAACCACTTTGAGGGAGATAGGTGTGCAGTTTCCTCCCAGGCAGCTTACAGCCTCTGAAAATCCACGAGAGGGTCAGCTATAGGTTGGTTCTAACTCAGCAGGTCTCTCTCTCTCTCTCTCTCTCTCACACACACACACACACACAGCAAAACAGTCCAACTAAAAAATTCTTATTGTTTTCCATTTTTATTGTAATTTAGGTGAAAATTTACAGAGCAAGTTGTTTTCCATTCTGCAATGCACATTTTTCTGGTGTGGCATTGAACGTGATCTCCACTATTTAGCTGCACTCTTTCCATTTTCTCTTTGTGCTTACATTTCTAGTCAGCCTTCTTTTCTTTTTCTTTATCACTGGATACATGTTTTGAATCCCTTCCATTGTTGTTGTTGTTGTTGTGATGTGCCTTCGAGTCGCCTGTGACTCATAGCAACCCTATGTACAATAGCCCTAAACTCTGCCCTATCCTGTGCCAATCTCACCATCTCTGACACACCCACCCCCATTACCCCAGTCACTGAATCAATTCATCTCATCGAGGGTCTTCCTCTCTTGCGCTATCGCTCCACCCTCCCAAGTATAACGTTCCTCTCCAAGGACTGGTCCCTCCTTGCAACATGTCCAAAATATTGTAGATTTCAATTTCTTTTTACCTTCAGGGAACTTATATATAACAAACAACAAATTTGTTTTCTCTAAGTGGCTTTTGTGTAGATGATGCCAGAACTTTGAAAGATGTTGGTAAGAAATAGAGAGCACTTTAGACACCTGGGCTCTGGTGGCCTACTAGGTAAGAATATGCACTGTCAACTCAAAGGCAGGTGATTCAAATCTACCAGCTGCTCCATGGGAGAAAGTAGAGCACTCTCCTTCTGCACTCTTTACAGCCTCTGAAAACCTGCTAGATAGCCAGCTATAAATCAGTCAGTTTCAACTGGACAGCAATAAGTTGTTGCTCTTGGCTACTCTTTCAGGTAAAGTTCTCTTTTTCGTTTTCTACACATTAGAATTCAGAAAATGCTCCCTTTGATTGTATCATTTCTCTGCTTGCTGAAAACCAAACAAATTTAAACCCATAGATCACTGACTGCCCCTTACATCAGACTCAGTGGCCTGTGGAAAAGATTTCAGACAAGTGCTCACCCAATAACAAGGGCAGTATTATAAAAGTACTCTGAAAACCTTAGAATTATCCAACACGATTCCATGAACTTACAAAAGAGACATCGATTTATTAAATAATAAGATTAGTTTGTGATCTGAGCTCATAGTCTGTTTTTTTCCCAGAACTCACCAAAGGATTTTCTCTGCCTTTTCTATGAATATTTTCCAGGTGGTTTGGACCCACTGGTAAGAGGCCTTCTTGCAAGATCAGCCAAATTGCAGGTGCAGGATCAGCTGATGAACGAGGAGCTGACAGAAAAGCTCTTTGTGCTGTCGAATTCGGGCACTTTGGATCTGGCATCATTAAATTTGCAAAGGGGCCGAGACCATGGTCTGCCAGGTCGTCTGCTGCTTCTGGGTTTCCTTTTGAATGCTCCCCTCACACCTTTGCTGTATAATTTAGCAAATTAGCAACCTGTTCTTTGAGAGACTGATTTAAATTGAAATGTATCTGCACATCCATTGCCAAGTTTAGAATGTGGGCTCTTAAAGAACTTTAGTTCATTAAACCAAAGAGGAAATGTCTTCTAGCTCTTCTTAGACGATAGAAATTAAACAAAGAAGATTCTAAGCCTCATGAATTGAGTGAGCGAAGACAGTTAGCAGGAGCAAACCCTAGAAGTGTGAGGAAGAGTTTTCTAGAAAGATAAATGCACATCTGTACCTTATTTCCCAGGTGCCGATGGCTAGAGTGTTCTTTCTCATTCCCTTTTATTTGCTGTCAGAATGTCCTAAAGGGGTAGAAGAGATTATTCTGCTGCCACTAACACTATCACTAAGTAACCTGTCCAATTTCCTGGCCCACTGGTGTGCACTTTGATTCCTCGTCTCAGATCAGGCATCTATCTCACTGCGCTTTCTCATTTCCACTTTGCTCTTGCCTTTTCCAACCCATCGTCTCTGCCCACCCTAACACTTCTGACACCCACTCTATTTCACCTGTCAAATCCACCTCCTCCTCTTCTGCCCTACCCTGAGACTTTCTGTGACTGGCCAAGTCTCTGGAACTTTCACTCCTTTTTGCTCCTGTAGTTCATAATCTGGCCTTTTATTTTTAGTTGCTGTCATGTTTCTTTTCAACTATGTAGGAAACTCTGGTGACTTAATAAGTTCTTAATTAATTCTTTACTTAAAGAATTGCTCTGCCAACTAAATAACAACTGTTAAAATCCACCAGTAAGATGAACAGTCTCCTCCCATGTGATTGATAGCCTTCGAAAATCTGCTGGAGGGTCAACTATGAGTCAGCTCCAACTAGAAAGCACATAACAGAGGTAGTTAGGGTAGAACTGGCCCAGATGGTTTTCTTGGTTGTAATAGTTATGTGAGCACATTGACTGGTTTTTATTCCGTGCAGCCCTTTTGTGAACTTGAATCTTTCAGTTATGGCTAAGCACTTAACCAGATTTCCTTCAGATATATGTAATGGATAGTTTAAGAAGTGAATTTGATCTGAGGCAAAAATTTTTGTTAAGAAATATATATGTTCTGAGAAATGCTCAGTATGACAGTGTGACCAGTAGCTCCAATATGTATGCTTTCGAATGCTGTTTTCCTTTGAAGAGATTAATCGAATATCCAGCCTACATCTCCCCAAAGACCTTTCCCCTCGTTTCACTCTGCACTCTTCACATAAATGGGGTCATCTGAAATGAATGGTTTACAGCCCTGGATCTGTGGTCCCATAGCTCTAGCACACAGTATCCTTTGCCTCTTTACTGCCTTCTCAGGCGTGCTATATTTCCTTTCTGGAGTGGAAGAGTGTAAATGTGTTTCCTCTTAGAGCAATAAAAACGGAAAGTGCCTTTCTAATTTCTTTTTATCTATGTAACACTTAAAGCATCAATCTCCCACAAGTCCTGAAAGCTTTTTATTATTTCTTTACTACTTAAAATAACTTGAAGATCATCTACAAGACTATAAAATCCCTGCCCCTATAATTTTAAAACTTGGTTCACTCAATGCTCTGTGTTTTGGGTAATCAGAAACAAATATATTGTTATGTCTTTAATGAAATAACTAACTGGCCCCCACAAGCTCTATGTCATGGACTGAGAATACATATTTTCTATATAAATCATAGTTAGTGGCTCTTCTGTAGCCAGTAGGGGGCTTTAGTGGTATAGACCATAGTGAGCTGTGCTGATAACCCAAACGGCTACCTGTCACTGTTATTTCTAACCCACCAGCATCTTTCCAGAAGAAAGATGGGCAGTTACCTCCTGTGTGATTTAAAGCTTCAAAAACAAATGGAAGGTCAGCCAGGAGTCAATTCTGACTCTACAGCAATGTCGTGACATTACAACTATTATTAGGCCATAGAAAATTTGGAAGCATGTTGGCAAGTGTGGTCTAAAATATACCACCTCACAAAGTGGTAAAAATGAAATTCCCATTGGAGGACATTTGGGGAGCTGTGTGATTTTGGCATAGAGAAACGTAGTCATCATCCCAAGTAGCTGAAGATGAGGTCTGAAGTGAGACCTGGAAATGGCTGTCCAGAGAGCGAGAAACCAAAGTGGCTCCTTCTAGGAATGAAAAGTCCTGCGAGTAAACAATAAAGTAGTGGTAGGAAATTGAGGCAAAACAGCTTTCCAGAGGCAGCACGGAGGTTAGTGATGTTACTGAGAATCAGAGGAGTTAAAGTCAGGTGCATACTTGCTCCCCATACATTGCAAATCACTGATAACATCACTTTTAACATAATCCACTCAGTGCTCTCTGACAGTGGTTTTCTGAAACCTTGCATGCTAAGTTATACTAGTATTTTCTTCTTTCAATTTCTGAGTTCTTTCTTCTAATCTCTCTTCTACATTGGCCTTGAAGGATTTCACTTCTCTGGCTCAACAAGGTTCTTTAGCACTAAAGCTTTCCTTCACCTAGATTATTGAAGATATGTGATATGAATTCTCTCCTCACTCCCATTACTGTTTCACCCAAATGTGAAACTTGCTAACTTGCTATGAGTCCCTTACTCCTCTCAATCATTTCTAGGTGTGCATTAGTTTAGACAGCAGTACTTTTGTTAAGATTATATATATCTCCCCCACTGGGAAGAAAACAATACACAGACCCAGCAAATGAAGTCCAGGTGGTAGAAAAGAAAAGGAGAAGCAAAGAGAAAATAATCAAGTACAATGATGAGGGTTCTAATTAGAGAGTGGAATGCTAAATCAGTGTGAGCAATTACCTCAACTTATCTTCAAGAGGGAGAAAGGTTTCTGGAGGAGGTGATGGCTGTGATGTAATCAGTAGGATAAGTCAGGTATGGTAGAATTAGGAGTAGGTGCCTGAAGAAGGGCACAAGAAGAAGGGAAAATATATCGGAGAAAAGGCAACAGCACAGCAAAGCTGGAGTGTAGGCACAGATTAATTCGAAGGAGTGATGACTAGTTCATTATGCTTGCAGAGCATAAGGTAAGAGAAGTAAAACAAGAAGCTGTAGAGTAAATCAGAAACCAGGCAACCGGAGCTTGCTTTGACATGCTGGGAAGTTTGGAGTTTATCCCAAAAGCAGTAAGGAGATAATAATCATCTCTATTCCTTTCCCAAGTGGAGTGCGTGCGTGTGTGTATGATAAAGAGGAGTGACCACGGGAGGGAGAGAAAGAGAAGAAAGGAGCCAGAGAATTGGTTGGCACCATCATTAAGAATGTAAATCTATAAAGGAGCATAGGCTGCCTTTCTGTTGCTCCACAGAGAACAGAATTTAGTATCGACTGGATAAGAAAATAGATCCACTTAGGGGTCTCAGATTTAGTATGATTGCTCTCTGAGCTCCTTTAAGAATAAACTCTTCACTAAGCCCCCTGAAATCTGTGCTGACATGTTCTAATGTATTGAGCTCTGCAGAGTGTAATTAAATGGTTTTCTACAAATGAGAAATTATGGGTGCTATTTTTTATGTAGCAATTGTAAATTGCAGCCAATACAGAATCAATGAGGTACTTTGGTAAATAGTCAAGACACTGTGAAGAGGAAATAACCAAAATACACAAATGTTAAACCCTTCTTCCTTGTGTAGGTTATAACGAATGGAGAGAATTCTGTGGCTTACCAAGACTAAAGACGCAAACTGACTTGAACACTGTCATTACCAGTAAGATTGTCATTGAAAAAGTAATGAAATTATATAAGCACCCTGATAATATTGATGTCTGGTTGGGTGGCTTAGCTGAAAACTTCCTTCCAAGAGCTCGAACTGGCCCCCTGTTTGCCTGCCTCATTGGAAAACAAATGAAGGCCCTGAGGGATGGTGACCGGTAGGTATTTGCAACCAGTTACTTTTGTATTCTGAATAGTTAGTTTTATATGAAGCCAATCAGATCTGGATTCAAATACTGATCCTGTCACTCAATATTTATGTGACCTTACATTAAAGAAGAACGCCCTTGATGTTATAGATTTACACAGTGACTGCAATAATGGACTAAGATCCTGCAGAAAATACAAGGATGGCACTGCATACATAGGGCAGGATTTCTCTCTGTCCATGGTATTGCATTGAGTTAGAGTCAATTCAATGACCCAACAAAAAATTGCTATGAATAAGTCATTGATTGTGCAAAATTTGAATATTCTCTCTCCAGTTCCATTTCTGTCACCGAGTCCATGTTTTCCAACTATTGAATCTTCTTCTCTGTTCCCAACTTTTGCATCCCAGTCATCTATTATTATCAATGCATCTTGATTGCATGTTCGATCGATCTCCAATTGTAAAAGTTGGTAAAAATCTTCTATATCCTCTTCCTTGGCTCTGGTTGTTGGTGCATATATCTGAATGATGGTGGTATTCACTGGCCTTCCTTTGCGTATGGATATTATCCTGCCACTGACAATATTGTACTTCAAGATGGATCTAGCAATGACTTTTTTAACTAATCAATGACTTATTCATAGCGAATAAACTTTTTAAGAGACATAAACGCAGGTTATATACTTAGATTTCACCTGATGGCATGCATAGGAATCAGATTGATTACATCTGTGGAAGGAAACTCAGGAGAAGCTCAATATCAGCTGTGAAAACCAGGCCACGAGCTGATTGTGGAACAGACCACCAACTACTCATATGCAAGTTCAAGCTGAAGTTGAGGAAAATTAAACCAAATCCAAGGCAACCAAAATATGACTTTGAGTCTATCTCACCTGAATTTCAGAACAGTCTGAAGAACAGGGTTGAGGCCTTGAACACTAATGAGCGAAGACCAGATGAGTTGTGGGACGATATCAAGGGTATGATCCAGGAAGAGTGCAAACGGTCATTGCAAAGACAGAAGAGAAAGCGATGACCAAAATGGATGTCAGAAGAGACTCTGAAAATTGCACTGGAGCGCAGAGAAGCCAAAGCACAAAGCAGCATGGGATGACAAAGCAAAATATTACAATGAAGTGTGTATTGAGTTAGAGTCAGAAAATCAAAAGGGCCGAACTCGCTCAGCATTTCTTAAGCTCAAGGAACTGAAGAACAAATTCAAACCTCGAGTTGCTATAATTAAGGATGCTTTCGGCAGAATGTCAAATGATCCAGGAAGTATTAAAAGAAGATGGAAAGAATATACTGAATCACTGTATTGAAAGGAATTGGCAGACACAGAAGAATTTCATGAAACAACATATGAGCAAGAGCCTATGGTGATGAAAGAAGAAGTTCAGGCTGCTTTGAAGGAAATGGCAAAAAAAATAAGGCTCCAGGGATAGATGGTATACCAATTGACATATTTCAGTTAACAGATTCTGCCCTGGATGTGCTCACCAAGTTGTGCCAAGAAATCTGGAGAACAACCACTTGGCCAACTGACTGGAAGAGATCTAGATTTGTTCCTATCTCAAAGAAAGGTGACCCAACAGAGTGTGGAAACTATAGAACAATCTCACTGATTTGATATGCAAGCAAAATTTTACTGAAGATTATCCAAAAACGACTGGAACAGCACATCAGCAGAGAACTACCAGAAGTCCAGGCTGGGTTTAGAAGGGGTTGTGGTACTAGGCATATTGTAGCTGATGTTAGAGGGATCTTAGCTGAAAGCAGAGAATACCAGAGGAATGTCTATCTGTGTTTTTTTGACTATGCAAAGGCATTTGACTGTGTGGATCATAACAAACTGTGGCTGACTCTGAGAAGAATGGGAATCCCAGAACACTTGATCGTTCTAATGTGAAACCTATACTTGGACCAGGAGGCAGTAGTCAGAACAGAGCAAGGGAACACTACATGGCTCAAAATTGGGAAGGGCGTATGCCAGGGATGCATCCTATCTCCATACCTTTTCAACCTATATGCAGAACAGATTATCCGGGAGACTGGGCTCTATGAGGAGATATGTGGGGTCAAGATTGGTGGATGCTTTATCAACAGTCTCCGTTATGCATATGACACAACCCTGCTTGCTGAAACTGAAGAGGACCTGAAGCACCTGCTGCAGAGGGTCAAGGACTGCAGCCTCCAATATGGGTTGAGGCTCAATGTCAAGAAAAAAAAAGATTCTCACCACTGCACCAAGTGGCAGCCTCAGGATGGACGGTGAAGAGATTGAGATTGTACACAGCTTTAGTTTGTTGTTTCCACAGTCAACACTCTTGGCACCAGTACCCAGGAAATTAAAAGGAGCATTGCCATGGGAAAGTCTGCTGTTAGGGACCTCTCCAAAGTACTGAAGAGCAATGGTGTCTCTCTGGAGACTAAGGTGCATTTGATACAGGCCATGGTCTTCACAATCACTTGCTATGCATCAGAGAGTTGGACAATGACCAAGGAGGATAGAAGGAGAATTGATGCCTTTGAGCTGTGGTGCTGGAGAAGAGTATTGAGAATTCCATGGACTGCTAGGAAAACAAACATATTTGTCCTGGAAAGGGTTAACACTGGTGGCTCCTTGGAGGTAAGGATTCTGAAGCTCCGTCTAACTTACTTTGGACATGTTGTGAGTAGAGACCGGTCCTTGGAGAAGGACATCATGCTTGGGGGGGTAGAGGGACAGCGCAGGAGGGGAAGGCCCTCTATGAGGTAGATTGATTCAGTGACTGGGATAATCAGGATGGGAGTGTCAGAGACAGTGCATTTGGCACAGGACAGAGAGAGTTTAGGGCTATTGTACACAGGGTCGCTATGAGTCGCAAGTGACTCGACGGCACATAACAACAACAACAACATAAAAAATAAGTTATTTCTCCTAACTAGAGTTTTTCTTCAACTATAAAAGCTGATTTTTATGAAAATTAAACACATTCAAGGTATATTTTAAACATTTCAAATTTATAATGATAGTTTTTCATATTATCACACAAATAAGCTGATATCATGTGAAGATCAAATTGTATTTCCTGATGTTGTCAATCTTCTCTCTATCATGGTTGAGGATACCCTACGGGGCAGTTCTGCTTTGTTCTATAGGGCCTCTAAGAGTCAGATAAAATCATATGAGACAGTGTTACTTTGTTCTCTAAGGTCACCATGGATCAGAATCTTATTAAAAACACACAGCAACATAGCCAGAGAGTCAGAAAAGCAAGTTCTTTGTTTCTCTGCATTTCTCTTTAATCTCCATACACTACAGTGGAAAATTATGAATTAGTAATTTGGGACCCACACAGATAAAAACAATAGAAAAAAATTTTTTTAATAATCCCTGTACATGTATTCCTGTTCTTGTTTTGGAGTCACTGTGACAAAGCCAACTTCTTAAAAGAATATTTATGCTAATTCAAGGTAACACATTTGGCATAACCTAAAGTTTCTTTCTTGTTTCACTCCCCAATTCAACTTTTATCATCAATTTCTAAAATGTAGCATTTCAAATAATTCAGAACACCTGGGGAGATATAACTAGGAGAAGTTGGCTTACTCAAAATCCTATCTTTAGCAAACTCCTGTGGTTTAAAATATGATGGAGACATGGAAGTAACTAGTCCAGCCAAGAACACATTTCTTCAACCTCACCATTACACATTTATTGCATTAACTTCCATGGGAGTACAACTTGAAACAAGCAAGCACAAGCTGCGAAGATTCCTGGAGTGATATGATACATTTCTCATCTTGATTATTTATAATTGAACATCTCCTAATACAAAAGTCTGGCCAAGAAACACGTAATGAGAATTCTTTTTCACATCCTACTAGCAATTTGGGAAGGGAGGGAAACTTTATATGACAAAGGAAGTGTGATGATTCATGGCATTCGGGTCAGAAGTCACTGGGGCTTTGTCAATGGTTTTGCAATTTCGAAAGAAAAGTGAGACTGATTTTTCCTACCATTGCAAATTCTCCTGATTAATTATGACCTGTAGGGAAAGACAGGTAGAATGGCCTCACACCATGTTTCTAATTCATCATAAAGAGCAGTGCACTTTCTAAAAATCATTGAAGTCCATTGTCATTATTCTTATTTTCTCAACTGCTCTCTACCACTGCCACCACCCTCAGGGTGAAAACAGTCAGCAAAATAGATCAGCATAAAATCATTAATGAGTTTTAAGAACTCTTTTTCCAATTAAATGCCATGGTTTTTAACCAACCTGTAAGACGTTAAATCATTTGGGTGCCTCAGTTTCACATTTCCCTCTTCACTTCCCTCAGATGCCTCATTGAAACTGCAAAATGCTTATCTTCCTCTAAGGTACTCATTGTTTTGTCACTTAGCTTTGCCTGTGCCTTGAACGGCTTCAGCCAAGCAGCGGGGAGAATCCTTGGCACAGAGCCTTGTGCACAGTGTATTTAGACTATGTGCTACACAGAAAAAGACCTAACAGGGCTTCTCTACTTACATACTGTTAACATTGCTTTCTTGTTCTGTGGAGGTTTTGGTGGGAAAACAGGCATGTATTTACGGAAGCTCAAAGGCATGAACTGGAAAAGCATTCTTTATCCCGGATCATCTGCGACAACGCAGGCCTCACCAGAGTGCCAGTCGATGCATTTCAAGTTGGAAAATTCCCCCAAGATTTTGAGTCATGTGAAAATATACCACACATGAACTTAGAAGCATGGCGAGAAACATTTCATCAAGGTAAATCTAAGGTTTTTTTATACTGTATTAAAGAGTTTTGATCACAGCTTCTCGAAGAAGCTGATTTTTAAAACACTGAGAAAAGAGCGTCATTGAAAAATGGTTGCAATTTGATACTATTTAGGAGTGCCTTTCCAGGTGAGGAAGGAATTTGGAAGTCTAAGGGAAAATTAGTCAGCTGAGACCTTCCCTATTAACAAGACATTGACAGAATAGTCTTTCACATATTGTCTTATATTATTGACTAAGTGCTAAAAGGATGAGTAAATCAGGGGTTTTTTAACATCAGCAGCATTGACATGCAGTGCCAGAAAATTGTTTGTTTATATAATCTGTTCTGTGCACTGTCAGATGTTTTGCATCATCCTGGTTCTCTAGCCATAAGTTCCAGTAAGTAAATGTCTCCAGGAGAACTAAATCACCCTTGTTTGAGAACAAATACAGACAATAAAGGGACCAACACTTGGTTTCATACAAGGGAAGGCATCTAGACATACATAGGAACTCTGCTGGCCTAGTGAAAAGAAGCTACTCTGTAATACTGAAGGCACATAATTCAAATCCACCAGCCACTCTGAGGGAGAAAGATGGGCAGTCTCCCCTCATGCAATTAACTGCTTCTGAAACCCCTCTGGAGGGTCAGGTGTGAGTCAGTTCTGACTTAACAGTACACAACAACTGCAGACACATGCATGTACAATTTACTAGGAACTTGATAGTTATTTAGGATACAGCTTAATAGAAATTTGTAAATTTTAATGTTGCGTTCACCAAAGTTATTTATTCTTTTAATAAATGTCAAAGACTGGCAATCAGATTTTCTAACCTCAGGTTTTATACTATTCATCCCTGTAGTACAGATCAATTTGAATCTTACAAATCTTACAAATCTCAGTTATGCACAGTAGGAAGTACTTCATTCTTCTGATATTATTTTTCATGCCAATCCAAGCTCAAAGTAGAAACTTAGAAATCAGTTATTGAGTAGCTCTTTTGGAATAGCCATCCACAAGGTGCTGGGAATGAATCTCTAGAAATAAAAATGCATAAACACACATTGATCTTCATAGCTATTGTATTCTAGACAGAGTTTTTAGAAATTAAACAAGTAAAAACTAGTGTATATATGTACAATATGCTATGTGCCATATAGGTACTCTGGAGGAAAATAATGTATAAGAGGAATAATTATACAATTGCAATCATGACAGCAAGAGAAGGCCTCCATGCTGAGAAGGCAAGACACGTGCTTCATCCAGAAGGAAAAGCAACTATAAAATTCCTTACAAATGTTCTGCCCACAAAATGCCCCTCAAAGAAATCTAAAAACACGTCTGAAATTTCAAGAGCATTTATTATATTATTTCCATGTGTGGAGACTCTTTTCCTCCTCAGGAAGGTGGTGAAGGAAAAAAAGCCCCGAGTTTCCCCTCCCACTTGCTTTTATAGCTCTTTTGAGTGCCCCTATTAGGGCAGGGGGATTGCGATCATGGTTGGTGAGCTGGGGAATTAGTCATTTGGGTTGACTTTTGACGGGCTGGCTACTTTGCCCACCTTTATTCCTTCTGTGTCACGTAGACACTAGTTAATCCTTTACCTTGCAAGGACAGCCAAGGCCTTACCCAGGGCATTCGTGTCTGCCTTAAACTAAGAATTTTTATGGCCCACTTCTGCCTCTAGCGTTAATGGGGGTTTATAAAAAATGGGGTTTCTGCTGTCCCTTCACATACAATAGTGCCTGAGGTGTTGTTCAAGAAACCACATGGGATGAGTTGGTTGGAGTGGAGTTGATAAAGGGATGAGAAGTAGACCTTGAAGATTAGAAAACTAAGAAGGATAGATTACTTAAAGTCTTGTAGTCTTTAAAAGGACTTTCTTTTATTCGGATTAAGATACCCATAATTGGATGACTTTTCCAAAAGATCACAAAGAATCTGATGCAGTTCTAATAGTATAACGTGTTAAGAAACTATACACAGAGTGACACTATACTTTTTTTTAACCTATGTTACTATATTGTTTCTTTACCTGTATTATTCACTCCTAGGACTATATTTCAATAAAAATAAGTCTGACATTTTAAAATAAAATTTATTATATGTTTAAAAAAAAAGAAACTATACAAACACTTTGAATGCAGAGTATTTAGTATGACACAAATGTCAAATTAAAAAGAGCAGTTGAGGACTAGTGTATTATTCTATACAAGAAATGATGATAACTTAGACCTCAGATGATAGCAGTAGAAATAGTGAGATATGGCCTTATTGTGGCATATTTTGAAGAGATACATAACATTATTTTCTAACTGATTAGTTATAGATATGATCAAAGGAAGGAGTAATGGGAACTTTTCAAGTTTTCCCTAAAGTAACTAGAATAAATGGATTCCAGATTATTAAAGAAGGTATGGTTTTGAGTAAAGCAAATGTGGAAAACAAGACTAGTAGTTTTTATGTGTATTTGATAAGTTTGAGGTGTCTATGGAAATGTAAAAAAAGCAGATGAATTTGAAAGAGTGAATTCAAGCAAAAATGGTCTGGACTAGTTGAGATTTATCTACAAAAATCATGTTATTGTGTACCTTTAATTTAAAAGCAACCCATAGCTGACCCTCCAGCAGGTTTTTAGAGGTGGTGAATCAGATGAGATGAGATTTCCCATCCACCCCAGAGCAGCTAGTATATTTGTAGCACATACCATTGCATTAGCAGTGTAATCCCTTACTACAAAGCCACAGGAGAGATTTCTCTGTAAATTCCATCTGTAGAGGAGATGTTTAATGCCAAGAAACTGGAATAAGTTGTCCAGGGTTACTGCATGTAGGAAAGAGATGAGAAGGCTGACCCCAGAGATAGTCAGATTTTGAAGGTAGGAAGATAAAGAACAGATAAAGACCTTGAGAAGGAGATACTAGGGAAGTAGAATGAAACCAGCAGCTTGTATGTTATGAGGATACTGTGTTTTTAAAAGAATGGCATGTTCAACTACGTAAGATCCTTCTGATCCTTAAAATAAAATTCAGACAATAGCCAGTTATTGACAAGGTGATTCAGATTCATGGAGACTCCCTGTGTGTCAGAGTAGAATTAAGCCTCACAGGATTTTCCATTTTATGCAGATAGCTTTCCTGACCTGTCTTTTGAGGCACGTTCCACCTGCTACACTTAACTTTCAACTTGTTGGTTTGCAGCTAAAGAAGCTAATCATATGCACCACCAAAGATATCCTAAAGAACGATAAGGACTAAAATTTAGCCATTGCATTTAATAACACGAAATGTAATTGCTGCCCTTAAATCAAAATTACTATTGGCATGAAATGTAAAGTCTGATTAGAGCATATTTATAAGAAAGAAGGAAGAGCAGAATGAGAAAGAAGTGTAGACAAGTTTCTCAAGAGGTTCTGCTACATTAGAGCAACTGGGTAGTTTTAAGATGGAGAATTTCATAGAAGAGGAGGAATTGTATTTTGTGCATTGAAGAGAATAACCAGCCATGGGAGAAATTTGCTAAAGTAATGTCCTTGTGCAGCCAAGGAAGGACGGGATATAATTCTAAGCAGAATGGGTTACTGAATGAATGAATCTCTGTGTTTTACTATATTTTGACATTTTCACGTTGTATAGATGACAAATGTGCCTTCCCAGATAAAGTGGATAATGGGGACTTTGTGTACTGTGATGAATCTGGAAAACGTGCCCTGGTGTATTCCTGTCATCATGGATATGAGCTTCAAGGGCAAGAACAAATCACTTGCACAGACAAAGGATGGGATTTCCAGCCACCTATTTGTAAAGGTCAGTCATCTAATGCAGCAAGTATTTAAATGACTTTATTAGCAAAAATAAAATCTACATTTTTCAAATAGAAATTAAGAATAAATGTCATTGGATATCTATTTATTCACCAAAAGAAAGCTTCTGAGAATAATTATATTCCTAGGAACTATTTTACCACAGAAATATATTATTCTCTCGTTCGTTAACCAGCCCCCAAAGTGACATCTTTCTGGATAATGAAACATGATTGAGGCATTAAGGCAGTTATCATGAAACAGGAGTGACAGACAGAATAACACAGACATGAAAGGAAAAAAGAAGCCAGTGATGTCTAGAGAAGATTTGTAATAAAGAACATACACAGCAAATTTCTTAGATGAAACAAAGCATAAAATTATTTCCTACCTTGTGTTGGTTTCTTAAGGATAACTAATAAACTGCCACAAACCAAGTGGCTTTAAACATCAGAAATGTACTGCTTCCAAGTTCTGGAGCTAGGAGTTCAAATATATTGTCCCATAGTGTCTCTGTAAGACCATGTTATCACCAAAATTTCCAGGAGATAGATTCTTTCCAGTGTCTCAACTTTTGGTAGTACCAGATGTTCCCTGATTTGCAATCATGTTTTCTGGTATTGTCTCCCCCTCTGTGCCTTCTTCACTCTTATAATGGGTCACTCAGATTTTACTAGGGTCCCTTCTACTCCAGTACTACCTCCTGCTTGTTAACTGATAATAACTTCAAAGATCTTATTTCCAGACACAGTTCTGTTGACAGATAATAGAGGTTATCACTTCAACATCTAAGAATCTATAGGTTAAGATCTTCCAACATGAATATACTCATAGTTGGTTTATTTCTGAACCTTTTTTCCCTTTTTTTTTCTTTTCCTCACTAGACGATATTCTATTTTCCGTGTTCCTTATCTTTGGTGTCAGTAGGTGTTATATTCTACCTTCCAACCAATGTGTAAACTGAGCAGTGGTTATAAGTGTTATGCAGTCATCTAAAAAACTCCCATGGGCAAACTTTACTCTCTTTTCCTGTTTGACTGCTTGAAGTGAGCATGGTAATGAGGGCTCCCTGTGCAGCCATGCATTGAAGATGGCCAAATCCCAAGAAGAAAAATGCCTGACCTCTTATATCACCCCTACATGAGAGTCAGGAGATCTTTGACATTCCTGCTAGACTCTTTTTTTTAAACAGAAATGAATCTTTGACCCTAAATCCCTGAAGTTTAGAGATATCTTCTGTTACAGCAGCTAGTGATTCCAATCTTGCAGAAATTTTCCTCATAAAAACACTAAATATATTGGCTCAGGTAATGAGGATTTTAAAGAACTTGCAGGAGAAGCTGCAACCATCGTCTATGGAATACCCATGCGAGGCAATGAAAAAAATATATGTATTTTAAAGTTACTTGCTTTTACATAAAAGGTACACAATGTGCATACCAAAATTGTGTTTTCAAAGGATGAGTTTGTACTAAAGAATATAGCATAGTGTATGTCATAAAAATTATGGCAAACATTGAAAAGAAGGGAAATCCTATAACATATAATTGTACTCATGTGAAACCTATAACTAGAAAAGAGGCATGACAGAATTGTATTCTCTCTCCACACCTATTCACTCTATATCCTGGGCAAATTATGTGAGAAGCTGGACTCGATAAAGAAGAATATGGCATCAAGATTGAAGAAAGACTCATCAATTAACCTCCATTATGCAGATGACACAACTTTGCTTGCTTAAAGTGAGGACTTAAAGAAAGCACTTACTGCAGAGAGTCAAAGAATATAGGCTTTTATATCGACTGTATCTTCGTGTCAAGAAAACAAAATTTCTCACCACTTGACCAATAGGCAATATAATAATAGAGAAAAGATTGAGATTATCAATTAGTTCATATTACTTAGATCACAATCAATAAACTTTGTGCCAGCAGTCAAGAGATCAAGAGACATTGCACTGGGAAAATCTGCAGTCAGGGACCTCTCCAAATCATTGAGGGGCAACTGATGTCAGTTTGAAGACTAAGGTGTATCTGATTGAGACCATGGTCTTGCCAATCACTTGCTGTGCATCTAAGAACTTGAAAAGAAATATGTTTGGCAGAAGAATTGATATCTTTGAGCTGTGGTGTTGCAGATGAGTACTGAATAGCCCATGGACTGCCAAAAGAACAACAGATATGTCTTAGATAGGGTCCAGACAGAGTGCTCCTTAGAGGCAAAGACAACAAAGCTTCACCTCACATATTTTGGGGAAGTTGTTAGGAGAACCTATTTGTTAGAGAACAACATCATGCATGGAAAGGTGGAGGTTCAGCAAAAGACCCTCAACCAGATGGATTGACACGATGACTATAGCAATAAGCTCAAGCTAGGTCAGAGTTCAGGCCTATTGTTCATAGGGTTATTAAGAGTCATACTTATATGGCACCCAACAACAGTGTGTATTACTTGATATAAGCTACATTTGTTTAACAGCACTTGGAACCAATTAGAAACAAGTAGATCAGAAGTCTATTAGATATTTGAAACAATTTACTGTATCCTGTCCCCTACTCCCCCAAATAAAGAAACCCAAGAAATAAGCATAGATCAGAAAGGCTTTTTTCTAAACTAGTAAAATAATCTTCAAAATCCAAAATGTTAGAAGTGGTCTGTGAAAGTAAAAAAAGAAGACATAGTCCCTAATATCTATTTTCAGTTTGTGAGTAATAAGAGACAAAGAAAAGGTTAGAAACAAAGGTTAGATAAAAAAGACATTAGAGACAATCTTATCAAGAACAAGGGAACACGTTCAGAGATTCACTTTACGGAAACTTCACTTTACAGGAGCCCAACTGTTCTGCAAATTGTGGCAACATCTGTACGCATTTGTTATTACCGTTAAATACCTCCATTACTACTCCTGATTATTTTACTCAGTGTCACCACTAGTAGTAAAAATACAATAAATCTGGAAGGTTTTAGTGTTGTTTTGGCTCAGTAACTGCAAAATTTCATTATACACTTTACTCAAGATTCTTGGTGTTCAATAAAACCAAACAGCAATAAAACCAAGAAGTCTATAATGTCTAAGAGTTTGGTAGATTACATATTCTGGCATGTTTTGTGTTTCATAATAAGTTTTAATACAGTGCACACTTTACTTATACTTTACATGGTTTTTGCCTAAATCTCTAGATGTGCTGCCAACCCAAAGGCAGTCTGAATCCACCAGCTTCTCCCAGAAAGAAAGATGGGAAATCTGTGTGATTCACAGCTACAGCAAACCAACTGGAGGGTCGACTATGACTTGGTTCCAGCGTAATAGTATATTGCAATGACATACATATGTTGTTGTTGTTGTTGTTGTGTACTGTCAAGTCAGAACTGACTCATAGCTGACCCTTCAGTGGGTTTACAGAGGCAGTTCAATCACATAGGAGAGTATCCATCTTCCTCTTGTAGAGTACCTGATGAATGTAAACTGCATGCCTCTGGGATTTCAGTGCAGCTTCTTACTACTAGGCCACCAGAGCTCTTTAAGCTTGCACGCGCGCGCACACACACACACACACACACACACACTAAGGATGACAGAAGAATTAATGCCTTTAAGTTGTGGTGCTCAAGAAGAGTATTGAACATACCATGGACCACCAAGAAAATGAACAGATCTGTCTTGGAGAGGGTGAAATCAAGTTTCTCCTTGGAGGCTAGGCTTTTGAAAATCTATCTCACATACTTTGGACATGTGGCCAGGAGATACCAGTCCTTGGAGAAGGACATTATACTTGGAAAGATGGAGGGATAGCACAGGAAAGGAAAACCTCAGATGAGATGGTTTTTGGAATAATGGAGGTAAGGGTGTCAGAGTTCAAAGGACTGGTTCAGGATAGGGCAGGCTTCAGAGCTATCTACATATGGTCCCATAAGTCACAGGTGGCTCAATGGCACATAACAACGTATAAGACCCTTTGAGGTAGATTGATTCAGTGATGGGGTAGTCATGGTAGGAATGTCAGAGACAATGAGATTGGCACAGGATACAGCAGGGTTTAGGGCTGTTGTATATAGGGTCACTATGAGTCGCAGGTGACGTAACAGCACATAACAACATATAAATAAAAAAAAATCCATCAAGAACTAAGTACATACCAGAAAGATTTTTGTCTAACCTATTAAAACAATCTTCAGATTTCCAAATATGAGAAGTAGTTTGTGAGTATGTATGGGGTGGGGGGGGTATTTTCGGTATTTATGACTAAAATACTCTATTCACAAGCATCAGTGAATTGCAAATAAAAATAAAAGCTCAGAAGTATAGGAGTACAGGAAAATTCCAAGCATCCTCATATCCATCTGCACTGACCTACCTGTCATTCTTTGAATATGCTCTGACTTTCAAGCTTATGTGACATTGCTTACATATTTCCTAAATCTCAACTGGTTTCCCTGCCTTCTCTAGACAGTTTAAGAATGGCATCAAATCAATCTCTTGTTTCGGGACTTTCTCCACAACCTAACACATCTCACCCTTAACTCTACTTTTTTTTTTTTTTTTGGTCTCCCACAATTTTTCATACCAACAATTAACAACTTCCTACAGTGGCTATGATAAATGGTTTCTCAGACACAGTGCCTAGTTCATGCAACTCACAATGGACATTAGTGCCTTCTCTGAATCAGAGCGAGTAAACTATGGGGTCTCAGACCATTTCATTGTATATCCTGTAGCTGTGAGCACAAATCTTGGCACAGGCTGAGTATTCATGATGTGGCCCACAGTCCAGCAGTGTCTGTGTCCCCCCAGGAGGTTGGTTGTTGGAAGAGATTCTGGTTCTCAGGCATGCCCAGAACCACTCAGAATGTAGATTACACACAATGTAGATCACACACACACACAGAGAGAGAGAGAGAGTCCAGGGGTTGATTTTGTGTATATTAAAGATTGAGAAGTTCTGTTGTCTAGTTCCAAGTACCTCCTTCTCCACTGCCACTGATGTAGTTTGCACTTCCATTCTC